GCAAGTGCCCTGTCATCCGCTGGTTTTCAAATCTCATGCCGTCTTGGCTCAGCTAGGCTACCAAGAAATCCTCTCAACCAACAAATCTACATCAAGGGATCCGACTACCATTGGCCACTGCTACTGTGATCGGTCTGAGCCAGAACGCCGCAACCCCACACATGTTGTTACGCTGCTTTGGGGCAAAATCAAGTGACAGCGAGTTGCCAACAGGATCTCGCGTAGCCCTGCCTTCAGGTCGCCACATCTCTGCAACTTGATGGAAGGCTGAGGACTTTTCTAGTGGAAGCAAGCTGTTCCACAGGTCCACAGATGTTTTCTGAAATTCTCGTATCCATGCTCGTTTGGGCCAATACTCGCTGGAGCCTTCGGCAGCTGGACCGCCCTTCCATCCAACGAGGATAACGTTCCAGATTCTCTCCTGAGGCCCCTTTCTTACCATGTTAGGGCCGGACTGTCTAGCGCTTGCTTGTCTTCTCCTATTCTCCCGAGATTTTCATAGAACGAAGCACCAATGAGGCTCCGATCTCGCTGGATCGATAAAAGTTCCAGAGAGAAACAAACAACCTGGCCGCAGGTCCACTCCCGGCTTCCCGGGACCGGCACGATTCTCGGCCTTCTTAGTGGACTCTCGGGGAGTTTCCCCGGCCCTTGCTGCATGTCGCGTGAGACTGCAGGCGTAAAGTAGACTTTCGGGACGAAAGGCCCTCCCGTGACCCGTCGATCCAGTCTTTGCTGATCTTGAGGTTCTTTACCTGTTGGCCCAGCTTCAGTCCAGGCCATGGCAGGGACAGCCTTTCTTGATGAGAGATTGAGAAACTTGACCAAAGGGTGGCACACGCACCCAAAAGAAAGAAACACCATGATTCTACGGGCCGCTCATGAGCCGCTCAATAAAGGAGGAAGCGGCATGCGACGGTGCCTGGCCAATATGGGCAATGATGTGCTCCTCTCGGGCATCTAGGCCCGATGACACCTAATCGCTGCAACCTCCAGATAATCGGGTTGACCCTGCCCAGATGATCATCCCAATGAGTCGCATTCGCTGAAACCGTGCCGTTATCTGCTAATCCAACCGTCCCGCGCTCAGTACTGAGTAGAAACCTGTTGCAATGCCACCACACGGCTCATCCGGGCCTGCTAACAGGATCCCTCACTAGGGGTTCTTGCTGCCAGGCACATTCCATGGAAGTCTCCAGATGACCATGAGCTAGGCCCAAGCAAGCTTCCGGCATTTGGACCTCATGACCTGACACCTGCACTTGAAATCCGGGGTCGGGGGAAAGGAGAAATTTCACTGCGTGCAGTGGGTGGCATGCTGTCTTTCCCCCACCCACGTGCCGGCTAAAGTCGAATGTTGAGGCAACTCGGAGCTGAAACTATGCAGTCTACTCTATTTAGACAACGATGAAAGCTCGAAACGTCATTAGCGGGGGAGGTGTCTCGCAAATGTTGCGGTGGCCTGTGGATGCTCCATCTCAAAGTTCATGAGCTCCAACTACTTTAGGTATACAGATTAGGACGGTACTCTGGCATGAGAGAGGCATTACGACGTCGGTTTTGTCACCTATTCTGTCAGCTGTTGGTATCTCTCCAGAGGACTGGACCTGGGCTTCGCCTGGGTCGACTTATACCTTCAACATTTCACCCAAGTGATTCTGGTGAATCATTCTTCGTACGAAATAGGTGCATGGCTACGTATGGCTGAGAATTCAGTAAACCGGTTCAGAGATACAACCAGCTCAGAAACTTTGCTCGTGTACAAAAAAGTCCAGTCACTGAATTGATCAACATATCAATCAGCTGCTCTGATCGGCAAGGCAGACCAACCCCGCAGGCTTCTAGGAACGACTCCTTCCGTGCACTGTAGATATGGCAAGAGATATTAACACGCAGAGAAAGACTGCTACTAACGAGCTGAGGTTCTCAAGGTGCATGAGAATACACCCTACCTTCTCAAACAGTCTTAGGCTATCAGCCTCGCCTGGTCTCCCATGGTATTCTCAAGTTTGGATCGGGTTCATGACGATGGGACACCCCGCATTCTTAACTCTACTACGGAGTCGTCGCTAAGCCGCTAGAGATGGACAAAAGAAAGTCACTTCAGCATGCAATAAAATAGTCAGGTGGTTCAGGGAGGGAAGTCCCATATGATCTCCTCCGTTGGGAGGCAAATATAATTGGCTTCCGTGTGTTAGAGTCGATAAACGGGACTTTGATAGCTCGGCAGTAACACGGTCAGGCTTTCTGCTGCTTCCAGTGATGTGTACGATGGGCAAGAGTTGAGGGACTGGGGCTGGATGTAACAACACTTTCGGGACATCGTCGTCGAAAGGCTCAACAAGTTATGAGCGGGTAATGGGTCCGAGATGAGTTTAGTAGATGAAAGTATGATTAATAGTAGACTATGAAGAGGGACCAGTAACATGACTAGATGCAAAGGGCATATCTAATATATATCAACTTAATATTCATGCCACAGATGTCGAATGATCCGTGGAATAGAGCCACTCTCTAAGAGTACGGGGTTGGCTCTTACCGGCCGCTTATTTCTCAGTAATCAATGTGTCGTGACGCGAACGATACTTTCGCATTTGCCCCACGAGCTAGCTGTCTAACGTTGGAAGGCTCTTGACTTGCAGCCACATGCTTGATATGAATATCAAGAACCATAATGTGGAGAATCGCGAGCGGAATACATATTGCGATCTTTGCATAAATACCCGAGGCCTATCGGATGTTATCGTACTCGTTCTTATCAATGGTCTGCAGCTGCAATGCTAGTGTTGGTCATGGGTCGTCCTGAGGAATTCAAATTCCGCCGCGTTGGTCCCGTCACAATTTCGACCAAAGCTTGGTCCAGGCGATTGAGCATCGAATAGGGGAATCGATAGAGCGATGTTCATCTTTGGGAACTTTGATGAGACTTGATCTCTTACTATTCGATCAAATCAAAGACTTGAATATCTTTGGCAAACCTGCTATCTTCATTCTTGTCATGTATTGGGCTAGGTTTCAATCTCCTCAATAAATGCTTGCAAAAATGGTGGTCGATTCCCACGGAGGAAGATTCAAATCTTCGGAAAACTCGTTGCCAGACCGTGGCCCGTCACCCTTACATGTCGATCTGCGAGAGTTTTTTCCATTGTCGCCGGCTCCTTACACCTTGGGCGACGTCAGTTTACCAGCCTTTCAAACGGCAATTGTAACACCAAAACTAGGCCCAAAGCTCAATCAAGAGGTCCAGCTAGTTCCCGTGCAACACCCAGGGCCTGGTGAAGTTGTGGTGAAAATAGCTAACACAGGAATTTGCGGTAGCGTAAGCGTTTCCCAACAATAATAACTCTAAACAGTTTGTACTCATAACCTTTACTTACAAGATGTTGTCTTCTCTCTCGGCCCTGAGGACGGCCTCCGTGGAGTCAACCACATCGCGGGCCACGAAGGTATCGGGCACATCGTCACGAGCAATGATCAATCGCTTCTCGGAAAACCAGTCGCGGCAAGATATCTAGCATCCTACTGCCGAAGTTGCCATTATTGTACCCGCGGCGTCCCAGAATCCTGCCCAAAGCAGACAACATTTCCTCGACACCACAACGGCACATTTCAGCAGTACATGACCGCACCTTATACCTCCCTCATGCCTCTGCCAGATTTCATCTTTGATGAAACGGCAGGTCTGGGAATCGGTGTGTATACTACGGCACTGTGCTCCGGTGCCGCGGCACTGAGGGCCTTGAAAGCGGCGAATCCTGTCCCCGGTGACGTGGTCATTGTCAGCGGGGTGTGCGGCGGGATAGGACATCTGGCCGGTATGATGGCCCGTAACGTGTTTGGGGCAAAGGTCGTTGGTATCGACTTAGCGTGGAAGGATAAAGCTTTGGGGTCAAGGGCTGCTGACGTCTTTGACGAATTCATCGCTGCCCCTGTCAGTGTTTCGGAGAGGATGGAGGTTGTTGAGAGAATATCAGACGCCTGTGGTAGATTGCGCACTGCAGGAGAGACTCGCCGCGGTGCTGACTCTCTTCTTGTCACATCGGGTGACGAAAGTGCGTTTGAAGGGTTGATTGATTACGTTTGCGACGGCGGCTTGGTGATTTGCGTAGGGTAAGTCTACTTCCGGGCTGTTTGTGAGGGAAACTGCTAACATCACTTAGTGTAACCAAATCGCGAGGCAACTTGACAATACCCTTGGCTTCGATGGTCGAGCGCTCTATCAGGTTTCAAGGTCTGTTGATGGGTGGATGGGACGAGAGTTATGAGGTCATGGAGTACATCAGAGACGGCAAAGTGAAGCCTATAGTTACGGAAGTCTGTCTTGAGGAGATACCATCCCGGATGGAAGCTTTTGGGAATCATATAAACACGGGGAAATTGGTTGTTAGGATGGATTAGGACAAATGCTCACTTGATTTCAAAACTGTCTGCAACAACACTCGCGTTGTTGAATCGAGACCCTCGTTAGTGTTTGCAAGGCCCGATCAAAGTTCCTGGCTTGTGAGAAAAACACGAGCCGATTACTCGTCAACAAAAACGTGACACTCCGAATAGGCCCTGCTGAAAGTTACTTATCGCGCCATCCCTCATACCGAGTGAGATACCGAGCTGCGAAGGCTTCAAGTGGTGTGACGTGATCGCTATACTATTACTATGTACATTCTGGCTTTAACAGAATTGACAAGTTGGCGACACTGACGGAGAGAGTTGAAAGTAACGGGATATCATGAATTTGAGACATGATTATTGGTGTGTAGCCTTGTTGTGCTTGCGGGGCCTATCCAGGCACGTAAGTAAAACATTGAGTGCTGACAACTACAAGTTGAATCTAGCCCAAGAAACGGGATTACACACATCTGAAGAAATGATCTTGCTCTATGTCTCTCCCAAGTTCACAACGCTAGCCCCCTGTCCCCTACACCATGCTAATAGTTCCGACTATCGGAGCCTCGGGTAGTGTCTCCTGGCTGTGACCCCGCAAGAAGTTCCAGAATATCGAACTAAGTTGACGGTTCCTCCTTGTACCGCATCTTTTCTTCAATAACGACTGCCTCGTCTGGACCAGCCTCAGGGACTGCATATATGGTTCGAAGCTTCTTCTGCCACGCCCGGGATCGCCATTCAGGCACGTTCTCTTCAAACAATTTATCAATCTGTTGGATTGAGTCATACGCACGAGGCTATCAGATTGATCTTCCGAGGAGTACAACTCACCTCCATTCTCGAAAGTCCCGTGAGCTCGGGGACACAGGTGTAGGCCCAGACGAGAGACAGAACAGTCATGCCAAACCAGATGTAGGACACCTTTACCCCGAGGTCTCCGGCAGTCTCGTCAATCATGTAAGGCGTAACAAATCCAACCAGCCATGTGATTATCCAGTATGCCGTCAACACGATGGAAGATTGGTAATTTCTTGCACGGTCGGATAGAGGCTCTGCCATCAGCAACCAGCCTACATAATTTGTCAGTCGATCCCCCTTCTGCAGAGTTTTAAGGCAGACAACTTACCCCCAGTACCCCAAGTTGTTGCGTAGGAAGCGATAAAGAACACCGCCCCAACGATAAGCATCATCTTGTCAGCCTTGCTGTCCGGAGCGGCGCTATGGATGATGCCGGTGAGTAATTGGGCGATTCCCATAAGGATCCCACCCGCGATCAAAGATCTCCTCCTTCCCAGACGCTCAATGAGGTACATGGAAGGTGCTGTAAAGACGCAATTGGTGATGGCGAGGACTAGAGAGATCAGATACGAGTCGTCGACGCCCGCGGCAGCGAAGAAGGTTGTCCCGTAGCCGAACCAGAAGGTGATGCCCGTGGATATAGTGAAGAATGACATGGCCACCCCAATGAGTGTTCTTCTGAGATCGGTTCCTCGGAAACACTCGCTGAACTTTGCGCTCTGTTGCGGAGAGTGGGAAGAGCACGGCGCGCTTCGGGTTCCTTTTTCTTCTTGGCAAGGAGGAGCGGCGACTCGGGACAGAAGAAAACACCAACAAATACGATCAGTGCCAACACAAGCTGGAATGCTATCGTGATGCCTAAGGTACCTCCGAATTAGCCTCTGCAAACACGCAGCCATCATGTTTTCGCGGTTCCCTTACGCCAACTTCGGGAATCGGTGTACTTGGAAGTTCCCAAGCTGATGCCACACGCAATCACGTTGCCTGTGGTGAGGAATTGGGTGTAGAATTCCATCAGTTGTCCTCGATTCGTTGGTAAAGAGCATTCCATGAGATAGGCAGGAACCTTCATCGCGGTATTTAGTCGTCATCTAACAACACGATGAGTTTCGTACTAGGTCCTTACCGTGATGGAAATGAGGCCGAGAGCAACACCAAGCAGAACGCAACCCACGACGAACACAGCGGGTGCAAGTCCAGCGGTCTGGAGTGCCACGCCTGCAGCATAGGTAATTGATGCCGTGAACAAGTTGCCGCGCCGGCCAACCACGGGAGATCAGCAAGCTTGGCAGCATCCTGACTTTCAAGAGCCCAAAAGATTTACTCAGATTGGTAAGAGGTGCTACTAGTTGACACCCTATAAGAGCAACAACGACGAATAAAGCAGAGAATATGCTCCGGGTATATGGAGTTAAGTATAGATCTCCGGTGCTATCATGTTTCACACCGTAGATTCGGGTGAAGTCTTCAGACCCGAGCACGCCGTTCAAGTATCCGGAATCATACCCGATGATTGTTGCTGATGTAGCCTGTTAAAATGGCACAACTGCGAGATCAAGGAGAACTGAACGGACGAGAAGATAATGCTGTACACAAGAACTTGCCTGGCGGACAACATTTTTAGCAAAAGGTGAGTGAATTCGCAGATTGATGGATCGCGTTGCGTTCGAACACTACCATTGCAGTGGGCGCATGCCTGACAATTTAATAAGTCAAGCCATCGATAAGTATGGTCTCATATACCCAGCCTGCTAGCCGGGGTCTTCTGGAGGCGTCTGTAGAAAAGATCTTTCCGTAAATGGCCTATCAATCAATTTGGTAGTGTCGTCGAGAGATAGGAATTTGCATTCCGTCTAAAGGGGCAAGGCCATCTCTTATCTTACATGTACTGGCCTATGAACTTTGGCATTGCAACAATCTGCCAAACTCTAAATTTATAATAGTGATGACTTCTTATCAACTGCAGCATGTCTAGATTGCATGGCTCTGATCTACTATCCAGCTGAGTCTTCTCGTACAATATACTGCGAGATGTGAAGGCCTCTCTACCATATGCTTGACCTGGTTTTCTTGCTTATTCCGGGAGTCAAAATTGCCGGATCTATTGAGCCTCTTTCATCAAGTACCTATCATCAAGATTTCAGAAACTGGCCTAATCTTAACGTTTGACAGCGATTAAAGTCGTTGAGGGGATGAAGTGAAGATGAGGATCTTCGAATTCAGTTGCCATAGGAGGTACTTCTGCGTCAATGGTGATTAAGTCGTGGTGGAAAGATGAATACCTACATAGGCGAGGGGAGTTTCGTGCGCTCCCCCCATTTTGTTTACTACAGAGCATCTATTTCAGACAAAAATTGCAAGAGTTAGAGAAGTTCACATTTAAAGCCTGAATTTGAGATTTCCATCGTGACAATCACAAAAGGGCACAGGAGGAGGTATGATTTCTCAATTTTTATTTACAACAATAGCCCTCAGCCATCATGAGCTACAACTTCGATTTCCACACGCATGTCATCTTCTCCTAAACGTGGAACGCCGACACAGGTCCATAGAGGCTGATGATCTGGCATCCACTTCCGAAAGTTACGGACCATCGCTGCCAGAGCCTCGTTATTGATTGGGACGTGATATGAGTTGACACGGTAAACCTGGGTCCATCCCTTGCCACCAGCATCCTTAAGGCATCGTTCTACATTCTCGAATGCCAGATCGATTTGGGCGTTCATCTCCTTTTCGAACTCTCCAGTGATTGGATCCCAACCACCTTCAATAGACAGGGTTAGGCGTACTTTCGATGGAACAGGCAACAAATGAGCCTTTGGTGGAAGGGTATTATGGGCAAGCTCACCTTGTCCCGAGCATTCAATGCGATCGCCGACTCGTACTGCCTGGCTGTAGGAGAAACTTTTCGGCTTTTCAACTCCCTGTCCCTCGTACGCAAAGAATTGAAGATGAGACATGACCCTTGGCTACCTTAGTAGCGGTGACGTGATAGCTTAGCGTGAGAAATGACGACAAATGATCGATGAAAATGAAAGGGTTCGTTTGCAAAGAATTGGATGCAAGAGAATAGGTCCGTAAGTTCCTGTAGGAGAAAATCCTCCCTACGGCTTTTGTAATGTACACAAATTCCATGTCTTGCAAAGAGCAATGAGTCCACCAGGGCAGTTGAGAAACTCCGCGAATAGCGAAAAACATGAAAAACCCCCCACGCACTTACAAGAGGTTGATCCGCGGAATTCAAGTCCCTTGCGAGGTAGCACGGGCGCACGGATCGCACCCTCCTATCTCAACAACCCGAATCCGAGGCGGAATTTGAATTCCTTGAGGATTCTTGATATCAAATCAGGCTCCTACGTCACACCCGATGGATGAGCTGGAGCCCTAATCTGAGTCTTAATTTGCGCGCTCAGAAGACTAGACCTCTTTCTTTTCTCCCACCTTCCCAGCCTTTCGCAGGCCAATCGAACTAATCAGTGTGGCCACAACAGCAGCAGCGAAACATGTCCAAAATCCGCTCCGGTAGCCCTGCAGCAGAGAGGAATTATATGTCACGGAGCCGCTGGTAGCTATTTTTTCGCTTCCAGCAGCTTCCTGTACCGAGGCCGCAATCATAGCAGTGACAGCCAGGCCGATGCTGTTGCCTAACTGCGCAACAGTGTTAAAGACGCCACCGGCGAGAGCCTGGCTCTTGCCTGGGAAGTTGTTCGTAATGACTAGGTTGCTGATGTTAAAGAGCAGGTCGGTGCTGATAACGCTGATGATCATGGCCGGGAAGGCAGACTTCCAGTACATCCACGACACATCCTGTAAGGCAAAGATAAGAGGCGCCGCGATGCTGATGACTCCCCCGATGAGGCTCAGTATGCCCGCGTTGACTCTGTCCATGATATAGGCTGCGACGACGTTGGTGCCCAGACCAGAGAAAACCACTGGCAAAAACCGTACCGCCGTCTGCAAAGCATCTAACTGCTGGGACTCCTGATAATAAAGAGTAGCCCAGTACGAAAAGGCGTTAAACCAAGACCAGGTGAGGAAGACGGAGAGACAGACGGTTGTGAATTCGATTCGGTGCCAAATGCTGTTTGGAAGAACGGCTGGGCGGCCAAGTCTCTCCTGGCGGCTCTCCCAGAAAACGAAAAATGGAATAAGCAATCCGGCAATGATTAACAGAGCGATGGAGTGCGGCCGGCGGATAAAGCTGGCGGCGCCGTTTGTCAGCTCGGAGAAGAGGTAAGACAGGAGAGCCAAACAGGCACTGGCAGAAACGACGCCGACCCAGTCCAGCTCATGGGCAAGACGGTGGACAATGCTCCTCAGCGGGACTCGGTCCGATCCCGGGAGACGCCTAGGCAGACAGAAGAAGGCGAGGATCATGGCTGCCGCGTTGACACTGGTGGACATCCAGTAGCCAGCGCGCCAACTCGCAACCTGGACAAAGACACCGCCCAAGACAAGGCCCATGGCGAAGCCAACCGGATTACCGCCACCGAAGACCGCAAAAGCAACATTGCGGGTGCGGCCCGCGGGGAAGGTTGAAGTTATGATGCTCACGGCGGGCGGCATACAAAAGGACATTGCAACACCCTGCACCGTGCGAAAGGCAATGAGCTCTCCTCCAGTGCGACTGAGCGACACTGCCAAGGTGAACACCGTGTATAGTAATAGGCCCGTCAAAAAGACTGGACGGTTGCCGACAACGTCGGCGATGGCGCCAAGGGGAAGAAGACCGCACGACAATCCAAGAGCATAGACCGATGCTGGCCATAGTTGCACACTTGGAGCAATGTCGAGCTCCCTGCTTACTGCGGGCAGGGCCACGGTAAGCAGGCCGGAGTTGAACGTGTTTAGAAGCGACACGGACGCGAGCGTCACTAGGATGCCAGCCGTCCGCAGCTTACTTGGAAGAGCCATATGTTCCGAGTATGTCGGTTCTGTGGAGGGTAATCTCGAAATCTCGTCTGCTGCCGCCAGGGTCTGCGTGTGAGGCGGCGCTGGCTGCTGTGACTCCCATGAATGGCTATGTTGACGTTTCTTTCCATCTCGCACCGATGTTTGACTACTAACGTTGAAGAAAGTGCCGGCATTGGCGTTCGTCTTGATGATGGTTTTTAATTCGAACATTGTGTAAAACAGAACAGGGAATGAAGTTGTAAGTAGGTGTTGACTGGTATGTCAGGAATAACTTCTATCTAGGACACGGAAAACGAGGCGTTTTATCCCACGGCTCCCTCATCTGCTGACTAAATGGCGCCATGGTAGCCTCCTTGGCTACTTTGATAAGAAATAGTACAAGATGATGCCAGGATCATACCATTGAACGCAAAAAGATGGTGTCGTTGTTCGCCAGAGTTCATCGTGGGTAGACAATTGGTGGAAGCTAGCATGTAGATGCCCAAGTTCAGGACAACTTGGAGACATAACTTTGCGCTTACCAATCAATTTATTAAACTTCGCCGCTTACCAAGCAACCTGGTGCAGTAGCGATAACGACTAGCCAGCGTTGTTCTATTCTTGCTACCTTCCAATGAAGTTACATTTTCCGATCCAATGCTATCCTGAGCTCTCTACCCCTTGTTCTCTCGGTGGAAACTCCGCAGACTGGATCTGCAATTTTGAAATTAGAAGATAATCAAGTGCAAGTGGGTAGTATCCTGAAATTGAAATAAGGTTCACATATGCTGACTTTGGTACTATGTATTGCTAATCATCATATCGAATACTGCTTTTCAAAAGCCAGGAATTTTACATTTACTCAAACAATCACTGGGTTCAACCAAATGGCAGCTCTACGAACAGCTCCCGGGTCAGATCACTTCATCCGTCGGCCCATCCTTTCACTCGCTGCCTGGTTCATTGTCCTGCTCGCCTTTGCTCTTGCCCTATTTGGCCTCGATCTTGCAAACCACCACAGCACAATTCCGGTTCAAAACATGACGAACTCTTTCCTCGACACCATCGCGGTCCGCCGATCCTGGTACGCCCTGGAAAAAACCTTGACCCTCGATCAGGGCAAAATAAAATCTATGGTCGGCCATGCCATGCAGTCGGTTCCTAGTTCATTTAATTCGCAATCCAACCGCGCAGTCGTGCTATTCGGCTCCGAGCATGATAAGCTGTGGGATATCGTGACCGACGTGCTCAAGGCCCGAGTTACCCCGGATCAGTGGATATCTACTAGTCAAAAGACTGCCGGATTCAAAGCCGCTGCCGGAACTGTATGTCTTGCAATCAGTCAGCCCTCCATATTCACGTCCTGCCTCCAGACTTCAATTCCTTTCAACTACTGGTCCAATCCGTCTGCACGGCCGTCGCGTCGTTTCCCTGACCAGCGTGATCTGTACATGCTGACACAGTTCGACAAAGGTTCTCTTCTTTGTGGACGACGAGGTAGTCCAGGGTTTCGCCAGCAAATTTCCAACTTATGCAGATCAGTTTCCCGTCTGGGCGGCGCAGTCGGATGCCATGTTGCAGCACACCATTTGGACGGCGCTGTCAGCCGAAGGGCTTGGTGCCAACTTTAGATGCCGAAGTTAAGGCCACATCTTCAGCTGTAAAAATGGGCCAAAGAATATGGGTAAGACTTAATCTTTACGATTTAGGAGGATAACCCAAGGAATGCAGTAGACAAAGAGCCGAGGGAATTCAGGATATTTATATTGACTAGATGGTGCGGTAGGCCGATTTACTCATTGATACTCGGCACAAAAGTCATGATTGTTCTGTCGTCAGATACAACTGTCAAAGAAGTATTGGACAAGAGGAGCGGCAATTACTCTGACCGGCCAGATATGTTTATTGGCCAAAAAGTAGCCAGCGGCGATCTCCGCCTTGTCGTGATGGTAAGTCGACGACAGATGGGTACCATGACAAAGGTAAAGAAGGGAACTAGCAAGTTGACAACTTCCAGAGGTACGGAGATAACTGGCGCATGATCCACCGCATGGTACACAACATCTTGAATATCAAGGCTGCTGTCACATACGTCCCTTACCAGGACCTTGAAAACAAGATTCTTCTGAATGACCTTTTGGAAACTCCTTCCGATTTTCTCCAGCACATCAGAAGATTTACCTACTCTCTTTCTACACAAATGATATACGGTTATCGCTGTACTGATAATCATGACCCAAAGCTTCTGCAGCTGTTTGAGGTAATGAAGTCTTTCCATCACAGCAAAGGTCAACACGAAAAAGCTCTGCACAATACTGACTGTTGATGGAATAGAGTTTTGAAAACTGGGGCAAGTTGTCAGGGAGCTCTAGCGCCCAGTTGGCAGACATCTATCCTTTCATCCAAAGCTTGCCTAGTTATATTGCACCCAACGTTAGATATGCCAAGCAACTTTTCAAGATAGAGAGCCAGAACTATCTCCGGCATTGGATGATGTCGAAGAAAGCTCTCGATGAGGGAACAGGACTGGTGAGTTACATAATCTAGCACTGGTAACCGAAGAATACGTATCGAGATTTTTTTTGACGAGCGACCCAACAGCCCTGTTTTTGCAACGATATCTATCGCGCTCAGACGCAAGAGGGCTTTAGCGATGCTGCTGCTGCTTATATCAGCGGCTCGCTGCTTGAGGCAGGTTCAGACACAACGGCAGGAACTCTTTATGGTTTCATACAGGCCATTCTCATCTGGCCAGAGGTGCAGAGAAAGGCACAGGAGGAGATCGATCGCGTGATTGGCCGTGATCGCCTCCCCACTATCGATGACTACCAGCACCTGCCTTACATCCGCTGCTGCATCAAGGAGAGCCTGCGGTGGATGCCGACTGTCTTCCTTGGCGTACCTCACGCAGCAGTTAAGGATGACGTTTACATGGGTTATAGCATACCAAAAGGCGCGACTGTAATTAATAATGTGTGGTAAGTAAATCCTTATAGAAGCGCCTCTCAAAAGCGGCAAGTCTAATATCTCGACGCAACACAGGGCCATCCCTACTATCTTAGTATAATTAATTAGTTTATTAATAAAATATAAATTACTTAGTACTAATAAGGTTAATAAACTAAGTAAATAACTAAATAACTTAAATCTTATTTTATTTACTTTTTAAAAAAAAAATAAAAAAATAGTAATTAATAATAAAATTAAATTAAGAATATTAAATATTTTAAATACTAAACTATTTTAAATTACTAAAATTATTATTATTTTAAAATAAAAATAACTAAGTTATTAAGTTTTAAAGTTTATTTAAATAGAATTATTAAAAGAATTTTATTTATTATTTTTTAATTACTATTTAAATTTATAGGTATTATATATTATATAAAAGATCTTTATTAATCTTTTTAGTTATATAAATATCTAGGGTTTATTTATATAAATTATTAAATAATTAAATATTATAAGGATTAAATTACGGGGTATATAAGCTTATATTTAGCTAAGGGCTTAAAATAATATAATAAAGGGGGACCGAATTCAGGGCGAATAAACTGATAATAATACTTGAGTATAAGGCAAGGAAGCTGAGACAAGAAACTTCAAGGCTAAATATGGAACGATTGACATGAACAGCAAATTTATTACAAGAGAGTGAGGCTTTCCCGAGCATCCGTCTATGAACTCGCCTATGAGCTAACTTGGGAACGCCCTATGTCTTCACCGACGATTCAGCAGCCAATTCCGTTCTAGGCTTTGCATCTCCGATGACCGCATTCTTTACAGTCGTATAGATATGCCCAGAAACAGCCCGTAGAACTGCATATGCGATTGCTAGTGATTCCACTGCCTCAGCTCTCCAGGCGACATGCTGGTCTGGGCGGATCAAGAGCAGAGTTCGTTCATACAAAGCTCTGGCTTGCGCCTCTCCTGAAAGATTGATCAGCGACAGACTTAAGCCCAAGTCGCTCGCTGCTTGGACAATATGATATTGTCCCACATCGGTATCTGTGAAGCAAAGAAGTGACCAGTGTCTGCCGAACTTGTCGAATATTGCGGTGCCATCGGAGAGAAAAAGATGAGGGGGCCGACCGCCAGGCCATGTTGTTGGCGTGTAGCAACGCGGATCCGAGGGAGGCTCGCTACCGTCGTCTTCTCGATGCAAAACAATGTGCGAGTTGTACCGGTATCCCATCTCTATCCCAAGGTCCCTGTTTTCCCCATCATGACTCTGGTAGAATTCGTGAACACGCTTCCTGAGCAGATGTGCTTCTTCTGTGTCGGCGTCGATGCGACGCGGGTCACCGCCGCCGAGCAACGTCTGCAACTCATTGTGGACCTTGAAGTGGACGTGAGACCGTTCCACGTTGCGGAGGGCTACGAGTTTGCGCTCCGCTTCGTAAGACTCAAGGAGTCTCGGGCCGCCCTCACCATTGATCACCGATGCGAGTTTCCATCCGAGGTCAAAGGCGTCTCCGATACCCATGTTCATCCCATAACCTCCGGTAGGAATGTTCTGATGTGCCGAGTCACCGGCAAGGAACACATGTCCTTCGTGACTTCTCCAGTGGCGTGTCACGGCAACGTTTGGCCTCCAGATGGAGCGTGCAAGAATCTCGTCGATCTGGAATTTGTACGGTTCATAGAGCCCCCCAAGAACGCGATAGACAGCATCATGAGACTCGATCGTTTCTGGCTCTGCATCAAGGGGAAGAAATAGATGGGTCGTCCAGGTATCTTTCTCGTCTTGTGAAATAATTGCCCCTTCAAAGCCGCCTGACTGGCCGAGGAGGAAGATATGCCAGAACCTCCCCTGTTTGTGTAGTTTTGTCAGATCACGAGACTTGAAATGAACCAGCAAAGCACAAGAGGGTCTATCGAGATTGATTAGAGTCTGTTCGACATTCGCAATGCTGGTAAAGTCTTACATTGGGCCTCCGTCGAGAGGAATGGACAATGAAGTACGCGTTCGACTAGAGGCACCGTCGCATCCCACGACGTAATCGGATCTTAGGACGGTTCTTTCCCCGGTATCCACGGCGGTGATTGTAGTGTATGCAAAACCTTGTTGCTCTTCAACGTGTTCTACTTTGAAGCCATAGTTGAGATCGATGAGTGGATCGTCGTCGCAGATTTTCTTTAGCCATCTTTCAAAGATGGCTTGCGAGACTCTCTGCCAAGGCTCTTGGGGCTGTGTGCCGTCATTTGTGTCCTGAATTTGAGATCTAAATCTGTCTACTCCCGGTAGGTCCCATTGCGTGAGCGGCTTTTCTGCAGAGAGTCCAGTGGATATGATGACATTCTGGTCGATATCCGGCGGCACGCCTTGCTTTCGGAGGTCATCGGCGAGGCCTAGCTTGCGAAAGATCTCCATTGACCGAGCGTTGGTCAGGTCCATTTTGGGCCATTTGGTGGTTGTCTTATTGCGTTCGAACAGTTTCGACTTCACGCCGTAGAAGGAGAGGACTCGTGCAAGCAGCAGACCAATTGGTCCACCACCCGCAATGACAATTACTCCCCTGGGCAGCAGCTCCAAGCTAGGTTTTGGCGTCGGTCCGTTCGACTCCATGATTTCTGTGCTTGAATTCGGCGTATTTGTGGGCCTCTATTTCTTGTAGACGTCGAAATGTCTTTTGGAGGTTTGGCCGTACTTGATTTATCGCACGCGGTATAGGTATACACATAGGCAGAGAAACCACAAACCGGGACTAGATATAAACCTTGGACCGTCAAGAACCTAGTGTAAATGTGGCTTGTTTTCATCATGACCCTAGAGAAACGCCGCGCCGGGTATTGTGTCGCTTAGCTAAGTGATATCAGTGACTATCGACATGCAACAGACCAGTCTGTTCTTCGGCTTCCGTTCTCTTAGTGTCCCGCGACAGAGCCGGTCCACTTGTGTTACTTTACTGGATGGAGGATCTCCACTGAAGGACTGCCATCACTTGATGGTCACTCGCTTTACAGCTAATTTTTCGTAAGGAACTTACCCATACAATATCGTGGCGGGTTCGAATCAATGGGGCGAACAGATAGGTTGTCTAAGGTGAGACCGGATGCCCCGCACGATGCAGCCCGGCTACCTTCACCCGGCTCCACACAGGCCGAAGAGAAGTGGATCCCGAGCCCGATGCCGAAGCCTGAGCCCGATGCCCGGTGCGCTACCCGTATCCGTGGCCACACCCACAAGCCTTTTGTGACCAATTTTGGAGCTAATTCCATCCTTCGTTGAGAAACACCCATCTGCTCAATACCGTGATATTTCAAGTGTGTCAGGGATCGCCTCGCATTCATTGACTTATCTCGGAAGGATGTCGTTCTGTCATCACTTTGGCAGTATTCGCTCAGCGGTCATTGCGTCGGTACTCCTTTGAAGATGATCAGCCCAACCCTAGCTTTTAAGTTAAGTAATCAACCTCCTGTCTTTGTAAAGTAAATTGATCACTCAATCAATTTTTATAACCTAATCGCTGTGTTAGAGGGTAGTCATCCACCAGCTCGGTTATTGAAGGCACGAAGTCGGTCTCATTTTCCATGACTGAGCCAAACTAATCCCTGAGCCTGCCATTGATTGCATCCGATACTTTGTATCTTCCTTGCTGACTTGACTGGCCGGTCGTATGACTCCGTTGAGCTCTGCTATCACATTGACACGCTCAAGAACTCATTTCTCGCCAGTTTTTAATACGATATGAGGCTTGCTCGTGGTACCTTACCTTACATCGATACTAACCGCACTCTTCAGACTCATCATGTCCAGATTCACGTCGACATCACACATATGGATATTCAGGTTGTCGATGGAAGCAGGCACGGAACCAAGTTTCTGCCAGTGTTGATATCCACATCACAGAGTACCCTAAATGGTTCGAAGCGGTTGATTCGTGGAGTGGCGAAGGGTCGATTGACTCTATTGAGATTCTTTACAAGGGGTGAAGAGAGGCATTGGGAAGCTGATCAAATGACCATTGGTAGCCCCTGCGGCTGCCCTGACTCGTGGTCGAATCGGACTTCCAGTCCGACAGTCAGTCCGCTGCAAGTTTCGGCCGCCAACACCTGCTCCTGTTTTCCAAACGGCAAAGAAGCTTTTCAGTGTACATTGACTCCGACCCAAACCGGCGCTGGCGTGATGATACCAAAGGACGACAGCTTGGAGGGGTCTTCAGGGCCATCAAGGTTGATTCATGTAGTGTACGTACTACTTAGCTAGGGGGGTAAAATTCAGTAGGACTCATTCCCAGTCCACCTGCCGGCTTGAGGAGTCGGCGACCTATCCCTGTTCTCAGAGAGGGCACTTACATAGTACCTTCTCCTGTGGTACCTGCTCCTCCTAAGGGGCCGTGGGGACGTGAGTCTAAACCCTAGCTCCATGCTGATCCCTGCAAGCCAAGCTAAGCACTAGGTCAAAACGGCTTGTGGGACTTAGGTCCACTCAAGCCGATCTACCCTGGCTCATGAACGACACCATCTTAGTGGATCGTATGGGCAGCCAGAGGCAATTTGCTGGGGCTGGACAGGCTTTTCATGTGATATCTAGGGTGAATGAACTCTTTCTGTATAGTATGACCTACCTAGGTATGAGGAAAATGATGCTCAAGATGTTAGGACCCAGTCAATTGGGATGATGACTGGCGTAGCTACCTTCTATCCTGAAGAACGGGGGAGAATGGAGCTTGAGGCATCATTGCCGAGACTCTTGTTCCGTGGCACAGTTGGCTGCGCTGTTCTGCTCGTGACGAGTCTCGTACCTCGCTTGTATAGTCGGGATAAGGTCAGTAAGGTAAGGTAGCCCAGGTAATAGTGTGGGGCCGAATACTTGACGGCTTGCAGGTCCTTGGGTACTGACATGATAGGTCGTTTAGACAGGATTGGGCGAGGTTTTTCCGTCGGCTCACAAGCAAGAAACTGCAAGTACACCAGTGACCCTGGAATTGAGGCATTTTATAGCAGGTTCGAGGGCGTTGGATGGTGTGTCTTCGAGCAGCTGTGGAGGCGAGGCTCCAGAGGACCAGACATCTAGGACCAGCAGAAGCTCGATTGGATTCTGCCAACAGGCGACAGATAAGCTATAAAGGAGGTGCGTTTTTCTTCGACAGCTAGTTCGCTGACATGCCTTACCCTGTCAAACATCGTTTTTCATATCCCTTCGGATTTTCACCATGGCGGCCCACGCTACCGACAATGAAGCCGCAGTCCATGAGGTTACCACTGGAGGTGCGCCCGGCGTCAAGCCAAGGAGTGCCCTTCTCAATACTGAGGCTGTGGATGACATCTCTGCGGATGATCATGAGCAGCGCATGAAGGACCGCGCGCTTCTCTCTGCCGAAGAAGAGAAGAAGCTCCTGCGCCGCGTCGACTTTCGCTTGATGATTCTGTGCGCTGTCATCTTCATGATCAAAAACGTCGATTCAAATAACGTCAGCATTGGCCATCATCTCCTTAGGGGTAGCGGAACTGATGCATAGCAGGTCGCAAATGCCAGAATCATGAACAAGGGCACCCCCCGGAACATCATGACGCAGCTCAAGATGACTGCTGATGACTATAACTGGGTCAGCACAATTTACAACGTGAGTGTCTCGAAGACGATATACTGTAAAATGATTTAGCCAACATGGTTCACAGATTCCGTTCATGATTTGCGAGATTCCCACCAACATGGTCGTGAAAAAGATGCTCCCTTCACGATTCCAGTCGCGCATCATGGTGAGCCCCACGCTGGGGGACATGTTGCCTACAACATGGCAATAACACAGCTTGCTGACCTACATAGGTGACTTGGGGTATTGTGTTGGCTTGCCACGCTGCCGTTACATCTAGTGCTGGCCTCCTAACCGCCCGCTTCTTCCTTGGTCTTGTGAGCTGTCACTGAAGTGGACCCATACGATCAACAATACTGACCACCCAACAGGCCGAGTCTGGCATGTTTCCAGGTATTATTCTGCAGATGAGCTACTGGTACCGCGCCGATGAGATGACTCCCCGGCTCTTGATCTTTTGTGCGTGATGCTCATCATAATGCCCCCAGCGCTGTGGATCGAACAGGTTGCTAATGTTACAACAACAGACTCATTCGAATTCTTTGCCAACATTGTTAGTGCTGTCCTGGCCTATGGGTTCAGCGGCATGAACGGGCGACATGGCTTGTCCGGCTGGCAATGGTTGGTTCCCCTTTCCTCCCGCCGGCTGCTCCCAGCCCTTGAATTTATCGCTAACTAAAATTGCAGGTTCTTCCTGGTTGAGGGTGTGATTACGATTGGCTTCGGCGTTTTGCTTCTCTTCATCTTCCCTGACTGTAAGACGGCCTATCTCTACCATATTTGAACGATTGCTCACGAGTCTGGTGTACAGTTCCCGCGCAGGCCAAATGGTTGACCGACAAGGAAAAGCGATTCCTCCAAGCTCGCCTACCACCAAATGCCCCTCGTTCTTCCGAGAGCAATTTCAAGGCGAGCGAGATCTGGGATACCATGAAGGACCAACGTCTCTGGTGGTTTGCGTTCATCTGGGCCACCAAGACGATTGGTAGCACTGGTCTTTCGTTCTACTTGCCGACCATTGTCGCCAGTCTGGGACTTGCGTAAGTGATTACCAATGCCGCAACAAATGCTCGTAGTGCCCAGTCCTAACTCATGTCTCGCAGTTCCATCGCCGAAAGCCAGCTGCTCACCATCCCATCTTCGGTTCTAGCTATTATTCTCATCGCTGTCAGCGGTTACTTGACCAACTCGCTGGCTGTGCCGTACCCCCTTGTGGCACTGGTGTACCTGGTCTCTAATTTAGCGTGCTACGGTGTCATGGTTGCATACCCGAATAACGGAGGCGTGTATGCTGCTACCCTTATTGCCGCGGGCGTCTCGCTGGCCTGGTTCGCTACCATGTGGCCATGGCGTCTCCAGACGACGTTCAGGGCAACGGGTTCGGCCTTTGCTATCGCATGGGTGAACGCCCTTGGTGGCATTGGTACTATTGTCGGTCCCCAGATCTTTCGTTCCAAGTACGCACCCGAGTATACAGTGTCGTTTGCGGTGGCCATGGGCATGACAGGCGCGTGCATCCTTGCCATCTGCTGGACTTGGTGGATCACAAGGGAGACGGAGAGGCAGACCCGTCACCTGAGGAAGAAACGTCTCGCCGCACACAAAACCAACGAGGTCATCTTGGATGATGTTGACATCGATGCTGACTTCAAGACACCGAAGGTGCACTCTTAGGCGAGTGTCAGGCACAAATTGCCTGAAGCTCGACCGATTCGCGGCTGGAAATGACATAATTAGGTACAAGATAGTGCAAGGTAATATCAAGATATATGTAAAATATGTGTATATATATATTAGTACTCTTCTGATCATGCTGGGCTGAAGGTTATGATGTTGAGTGTATTCCTGGTTCGTAGGCTGCTCGGGTGGTCTGGCAGCTCAGGGCCCTGGAAAGTTCTTGCAGAAGAAATCATGCTAGCAACTCACTTCCGGGAGTGAGGGTGACGAAACATGAATGACAGTTTGTAGAGACTGTCGCAACCTCAGTCCGCCAATCTATCCGAGCCAGAAGGAGGAGCTTTGCACACTGGGGTGGTGATTATGAGCGGGAGCCCCTGGGATTGGCATACTAAAACCTCGTATTTCCGCATGAGTTCGGAAAGCCGAGCAGTTGCGAAAAGATCCAACGGCGCGTGTGGGGCTGCTGCTTTACGCTCTGGTCAGATGGACGACTGCAATCCTGTGCATGGATAGGTCGAAAGCACCGGTTTCGTTGTGATCGGATACGGAAATGAGAAGCGGGATTTCTGGACTGTGTTGTAATAAGACTTAAGATCTTTTTGATCCATCCAAGGCCTGGTATGATCGTATCTTTGAACACCGAGGTACATCGACCCTGGCGCACAGCCTGTGCGCATATGTGAACATATGCAATAGCAATGCCACGGTTCTAACTTCGATCCCGGAAGCAATAGCAGCTGTCCGACTTACTGACACGAGCATAAGTGGCAGCTCAGTCGGCTTCTTTCAGGAAGCTGCTCCATCTGACGTGTTTCTCCGTGTTACACGGTGTCCAAAGATTACAACGATATCGTCGGCAACATTTACTGATTTTGGACTGACCTCCATCCTACGTTGCAGTGCTGTTGTATTTTCCGCTGCCTGGGTAAGTCCGCGGTGAAAAGTTTTTGAAGTCGAAGATTGGAAGGGTTAGTCCTGTATCGATGTGGTGTGAAAGTAGGCACGGGAATGGTCTTCCGCCGATTCCTGCTCGATGCATTCATAATCTCTCGATCCAAGTGGCAACTTTCATGGGACGATCGCCTTCTGCACGAAATTTTCTGTATGCTCAAGTGGCTTTGGCTTTCTATTATAGCACAGATGTACTACAACAGGGTCCAAGCGACTCTCTTTCTTGACGCTCAGATACCTTTATGTGGCTTTTGCGTGAAGATTGGGGTACAAAAAGGGTTTACGAGAATCCAGCATGTAGCAAGCGTTAAACTCATGAATTGAGGGATAGCGATCGCAAATTAATCTTGGTTCGACGCAAACTCGCAAGATCGGCCTCGCCACTCTGAAGCCGAGTATGGTCTACCTTCCCCCAGGGATCAATCACGCCCAGTGTATGACGACCTAGGCCTGATCTCAATCAAAGTTGCAGGCAGGATTAAACACAGCGCTGTACTTAACGCAATCAACCCAGCAGTCGCCTCAAAATTGGAAAGATTGAGAACGTTTTTTCAATAACCAACCAGGTGACTCAATTAAGTTATTTAACCTTGAAAAGAACAAAGGGCGCTATCAGCGTAATTTCTTTCTGATAGAACGTATCATTGTTTTAACCCCCCGAAACATGATCGAAAGGTCCATGAATTTGAATAACTTGATTGATTGATTCTGATCTTGAAGTTCAGTTAATTAAGGGCGAGGTCTTAGAAGTTGACTCAGTTTATTGCTGTGTTAATGGTTGAAGCTGCGTTGAGTGCACAAGTTGTATCTCTTTTGGGGCCGGAAAGCGTCCCACCGGGAATTTAGCAGCTCGCGTCGTGGGGGTGACTAAATCGTTCATTGAACCTGACCAGTGACACGTTGTATGCCACTGGCTGACGTTGAAAGCTTGGGTCGCTATGAGAATATTCAATGAGTTCAACGATTCGTAGTGCCGCCAGATGCAATCGCCGCCAACAAACAGGGCGCAAACGGATGGCTCGTATAATCATTCTCCGTGGATCGACAACATTGGACTGAAAATGGCAGGCAAATGAGACATCTGCTCACTTTCCGCCAGGAGATAGCTCGGTTGCCGAGCAAAAGTTGCTCGGCCGACCTGAGCTCGCAGCTGTCTCTCTGTTAGGTTAGGTTGTTGGCCAGGCAGAAGGCCATCGACAGGCGTGTAATCAGATTGATTGATTGATAAGATGCATGTAAGGTACTTCGACGTGATTAGATTGGACGAGCATGGTTCATGGGTACTGCATACGCGATCCCCACGCTGTAACCCTCCGGGTCTTCGGATACTCCACGTTTGCATCAAAGAAGAAGCATGCGCCGCCGTAATGGCATACGCTTAAAAAGCCTTGGTAGCTCTTAGCGTGCGCCTCAGCCTTTTAACCGAAGTAACCTTGCCGACTTCATGACATACACTTCCCACCCCTCTTACGAAATAAGCTTACTTACTACCTCATTCACAAGTTGGTTAAGGTCGCTGATTGAACAGAGGAGAAGTCTGATTTTGGTATATACGCGTACATCTCCATTCTCGGTGACCAAGCATGTAGGATCGTCAAAGTGGGAGCCACCCACAGCAAATGAAGGCAAGAGAACGGCACAGAAACCTGACACAAGTGTTCACTAAAACATCCTTACTTAGTACGATGTGTTACTGGTACGTTGCACGTAGCCTCAGATCTATCTTGAGTATTACATGTACCTCCTAGTGGGAAACAGACCCCACAGACTGCCCATGATGAGCTGGAAAGTTGGGCACCCCGCAGGGATCCTCCAACTGCAAGGCCACCTTGCGCATGGCCCGAATCCCGCCGTTCATACTGTCTGCGGCGTATCCCTTCGCGCGTAGAACACTGGTGGCAACGCGGGCAGAGTCTCCATCATAGCAAATGATGAGTGAAAGCTTGTTCCGGAGCTGAGAGCAGATGTCTTCGTTCTCAGAGCTAAGCTTGGCCTCAAGCTCCCGCCAAAGCGATGCCAACACCTTTGGATCTGAGAAGGGGCTCGGAGTGTCTGACTGAATAAGCGGGAAGTTCACAGATCCGGGCAGACTGAACTGCTCGAAGTCCTCAGGTTGGCGCAAGTCAACCACGATAGTGTCTGGCGACGGAGCTATGATTCTTTCCCAGCCTTGCCGTTCATCAGAACGTCTTTTGGACAAGAAGAAAAGGAGGTCTCTGGTGAGAACCTTGTCCAGACGGTAGAAATCGTTTAGGGCCACAAGAGGATCCTTCTCCCAGGCCGAGTCGTATCGGTATAGGTCGACGTCACTCAGTTCCTAGGCGTTGCAGTATTAGCGAGATGTAGCATACCGCGGGTGTGATGAGTGCCAGCTACATACCGAGTTTCTGATCGGAGGAAACTGCTCAGCTTCCAGTTTGGCAAAATACTCATCCATGTATTGGTACGGGAGATCGCAACACAAAGTGACGCAATGAATCAGGCCGTCTTCCCCTGCAAGCTCACTCAACGTCCCTTCCTTCTTTCTTTTCTCAATGAATTGATAAAGTCCTTGGAGATTAAATCCGGAGGAGGGGCCGCAAACAATGCCGTTCCGGCAAAGGTCTAACGAAAGCGAGTATGAGGGGTGGGATGCGACCTCCTCGATGTGATCCACAGCTGACTTCCAGGGAAAGTTGACTGGAGCTAGTAGAGCAAGGGACCGTGGACCTGGAACTCTGTCGCCCGCAGCAGTGCACACGCTGTGGATGCTGTTAGAAGGCATTGTGAAGCTGGCCCTGGAGCCAGTGGATTTCTTACCCCAAACGAAACACCGACGGGCTCTTGTCCTTGAAGAAGCTCCCCAAGCCTGACATTGTACCTGTACGCCATCGTGTTAGAGTTGTGAAGTCAAAGAAAACTGAAAGCTCTGGAAGATGGGATGTAATACCAGACGTTCCCATTCCTGCGCAAATGAGGTTTATTTCTGGGAGTTGTTCCAGAATCTGCGGGCCCGTCCATCGCATATGAGATTGCCAGTTCTAGAAGGCTTGGTTAGCAGCTGTGAATAATCCACAATGTGACTTTTGGCAAGAATTATCACCAGATCGTTGTTATACTGGTCCGGGTTGACAACTGATTCAGATTCCTGTGCCCAACGGTATGCAGCTCGAATTCCGCCACGCTCATCGTTCGGTTCGGGTTGGGACGGACCGCCGAATAAAGTGCTGTGACAAGACCATATTCAGCATAGTTATGGTGCGCATGAAGGGACGAAATCAAGCCGCAGCTATTCAACTTACATGTTAAGACCAAAGAATTGCATCAACTTCAACTTTGCTGCTGTAGTCTTATTGCTTAGGAAAGCGTGTACATCTACCAAGTCGTAGAGGACGCGAGACATCAAAGCCATGGAAATGACTGTTGAACCCGAGCTGTACTCAACGACCGTCTTGGTCTTATCGGGCGCAACTCCATGCTCCAGGAGGTTGAGAGCTTTATTGAACGACAATTTAGCACTTCAAATTCCGGCTTTGGTGAAAAGGTCTTCTCGAATTGATTACCTGGCATAGATTTGACGTTGTTTGCTGGGTGCATTGTCATCATCTTGGCGTAGATGCGGACGCCATCTTGTCGGTAAGGATTGAGGGAGTTGGGAAGCTCCACAAGAGGCAATGGTGGTGCTCTGTCAGGATTGAAGTAGTCCTTGACAGAGTCAGGGCCCTTATAAACGTTGAGATTGTTTCGTGACTGCATATCGAGGTTGTCGATACAGAAAGAAGGAAACGATATGTTACTAGTAGGAGATTCTGTTAGGAAATGTAGAGCTTGGGAAACATTTAGCTGGAGGAATGATAGTCGATGAACCTGGTGCCCTCGTAGGAATGATGTTATATTTTAGGGCAGTTCGTCTGAAGTATTGAAGTATAGCAACGAGCCATGATATTGTCGCATAATCCGGGCTGGACTTAATACCCAACCATAACGATAAATGACCAGTCTGAACCATTCGACCGCTTACGGGCCTGGCGATATTACATCACGTCTATACTCTACACCTGTCCATCGGACGCGACAGGGGGGCAAGAGAAGTCACGAGTGATTTTTGCCGTCAGAAATCGATCACACCAAACAAATGGCTCACTGGATCAGTCATGACTCAACTGACAGAAAGTTAGCTATGAGAGGTTTGTTTTGAAGCTTTCCATACTTACACGACGATATTGTCAACGAAGGGATCGCGAAATGCATACCCCGGTCTCGAATTGACACCCCACATTACCTTGCAACCTATAGACGTTGTGACGGCCAGGTCCGATAACACCGAATGGATCCTCTTTTGTCCGAGTGCGACCTGACATTGCTTGTTCTGCGTGATGATCTGCATCATGTAACCTTGAAGGCCCGTCCCATGGAACTACCAAAGTCTTGAGGGTGTGGATTTATAGAGCAAAGACCTGGCATCGACCGATATACCTGTCAGTGAAGGCCGCATCCCACTAGGCATCCCGACTCTCACGGTGGATGGCGCGCGGAACTGCACGATCTATTGAACTGTTCAGGGCAACAAGACCGATGAACAGCGGTAAAGAATTTTAGCAAACTCAAAAAGGAAAACCCGGCAATTCCAGCGCAACGTCATTACCAAATAATTTGCTACTCCACTGACCCTGGCCACTAAATTCGCAATGCTGCGCATACGACTGCGGAGTGCTGTGCTACCAATTAACAGAACCATCTGCCAAGAGGTTCAGAGTGTTCTGCCACGTCATTTGAAGCTTTCAAAAGAATTTGACGTTGGTCTCTAGGAAATCTTCGGGGTATAATTTACTCCCAGATGTCGTTACAGACACAAGTACCTAGAGAGTCAATGGATGAGTAGACACGAATTTCTAAAGCATCTTTCGCCCGGATTCCGCGCATCTTACCACCTATCCTTTTCTAGCGATGTTCAAGAACACCAAATCAGCGGATCGCAGCGCTCGGGAGGCTGTGGACATCAATGTTAGCAATCCCGAAAGCTCCAATACGCCAGAGACTGTGCCAGAATCGCCAACGCCCACGGACAAGAAAGCAGAGACGCATATGTTCAACGAACAGACAAATTACGTGTCCAAAGTCAAGGTCATCACGGTAAGTTGCCCCGCCCCAAAGGATTTTCAATCTTCAACCTTGATTTTATCCCCCGATGTGATGAAGTGATACATACTCACAAGAACAGATTTTTCTAGCATGCGCCAGCGTGGATCTCGTAGCACTCATGGACCAGACCACCCTGGCAGCTAGCTTGTCTATTGTTGGCAATTACCTTCATGCAGGACAACAGCTATCTTGGCTCGCTAATGGCTATTTCATGTACGTTTTGTTTGTCTAATGACGACTCTTCCTAACCCATACGTCTGCATAGAACATCCACAGTCGGGCAACTCTTGTACGGCCGCCTCTCGGACATATGGTCGCGGAAGGTCATCCTGATGGTCGGGCTGGCGATTTTTGGCCTTGGGTCGCTTGCATCCTCCCTGGCCCAGACAGCTACACAGCTCATCATTTTCCGTTGTTTCACGGGACTTGGCGGTGGCGGACTCATGACAGTTGCGCAGATGATCGTCAGCGATGTAGTGCCTCTTCGCGAGAGGGGGAAATATCAGGGTATTCTGGCAAGTTTCTCCCGCCGGTCACTTTTCTACCTCCGCCAGAGACTCTCTTCCCTGCCAGAATATCAGATTTGATCAGATATTCCTTTCTGGCCGGATAGATGAACGCTCACGCCCCCATCCCCTGCAGCCGCCCCTGTCCTGCTAATACCTCGGCTTCTTTAGGGCGCCGTCACTGCGTTGGCCAACGGAATAGGCCCCGTCATCGGCGGCACTCTATCCTCCAAAGGAGGCGACTCATGGCGCTGGATCTTCCGCCTCAATCTGCCATTAACGGCGCTATCTGCGGGATGCGCATTGTTCTTCATGCCCCTCAGAAAGGTCGAAGGGGACTGGAAAGTGTAAAACATCTCCTTGTTAACCCACCCCACACAGGCTGACCAAACGCATCTCAACATAGAAAGACAAAAGCCATCGATTTCATAGGTATCTTGCTTGCATTGGCTGGCACCACCAGCTTGATGCTCGGTTTAACCTGGGGCGGTGGCGAATACCCCTGGGCTTCTGCAGCGGTCCTCAGTACCCTTCTCGTCGGTGCTTTCGTCTGCGTCGTCTTTGTCTTGTGGCAGTGGAAAGGACCGAGATACCCGCTTGTGCCTTGTAAGATCCCACGCCATCCCTCGTCACATCTATAGAACTAACTCATACCCTTCGGGCTTGCATAGTGGACATCTTTCGCGCTCGGATGACCATTGGTGCATGCATCACCATGGCCATAAACGGCTGGAACTTTGTCGTTCAGGTCTACTACATTCCCACTTTCTACCAGCTCGTCTACAACTATGGGGCCACTAGATCTGGTGTCATGTTACTTCCAATCACCCTGGTTCAGACCGCGAGTAGTACTCTCTCTGGGCTTATAGTCCACTGGGTGGGACGGTACCGCGAGTGCATCTTGTTTGGCTGGCTCTGCTGGTCGGTAGGTCTGGGTCTCATGTCCACTCTCAACGAGAGTTCCGGCCTGGGAAGGCAGATCGGCTATTCCCTGCTCATTGGAGTGGGCGTCGGAAACACTCTTCAGCCGTAAGCATCTAGGCCTCGCCCGATGACTACGTCGTTTACTGATGCGGTCATCGACAGTGCCTTAGTAGCCATTCAAGCGGGCGTCCCAAGAAAGGACATGGCCGTTGTCACATCCTTCCGCAAGTATGTCATCTCTTGGCTGTTGACTGAAGATGTAACGGTGCGACTGACTCCGGTGACACAGCTTTGTTAGGAACTTGGGGGCCACATTCGGACTTGCCATTTGCGGCACAATTTTGTAGGTCATCTTCCCAGAGGCATGCACGACCTGCTGTATCAGGCGATGGACTGACATTTCCAAGAAACAATATTGTCAAAAACTCTGTCAATGGTCTGGACTTAAACGCAGAACGACGAGATTCCCTTCTCAGTAACCCACAGCAATACTTATCATCACTTTCCGATGAAGACGCGCAACGTATCCGCAACGTTCTTGCACCTGCGTACCAACGGTCTTTCAAGGTTATTTTTGAGCTTGGTTCTGGCTTGGCAGCAGCAGGTTTCTTCTTTGCATGGTTGTTGATGCCACACATTGACTTGGCCCGCCCCGACGACCACAAATTGAAAGAGGAGGGCCATCAAGCGCAACCCAAAGGAAACGCAGAGAAGTCTCCATGATTATGAGCGGGGGTGGCCAAGATTTTGCCATCTCTTCAACAATGTCCAGGGCGGTCCGTAGGAAGGCTTCAGTGACAGAAGTTTGGTAGAGGTTCAAGTACTTTGCGTCTGCCTGTTTGGGGGAGGGGTAAGCTGGAAGAACATGTCTAGCATCTGGCACCATTGCTGAACATGAAGCCATATCCCGCCGTCTGCTCCCTACATCATGTCACGGTAAAATCAATGTTGATGAGGCAAAACCTGGCCCTGATTGGTGACCACAAAAAGACCCAGAAATCTTCACTGTGCCCAAAGCTGCTGACACAAGATCCTTGTTGATGTGTGATTAGATTGATAAGCATTCTAGCCGCCATGTGCTACATCAGCCTAATGCACTCCGCGGACCTCAAACCTAAATCTTCCCGGGGTACCAAGGTTGACTAAATACACGCCATGTAGTATCTCCGAAGTAGTCCGACTGTCCGAGGCGGCGAGACGTTTCTGCAGTGCAACCCGAATCCGAGCATTTTCCTTGTGTAGAACATGCAATGTAACGCTGTTCCGGCCGTTGGAACGCCCAAGTGGGCCAACGCAAGTACCTAGTCTGTAAGTATTCATCAGTACTCTAGTCCCAAGGTACCGTAAGTAGGCAGGATCGTGGCATCAAGGTTCATCTCCAACTATCACCTCATGAAATTTCGACGACTAATACCGCATGCAACAATTTTAATCACTCAGTCACAGTGAATTTCCGACTTGAACTCGGAGGTAACTTTGAGCTCGGGTTGCAACTGTGCGGTCAAAATTTTCCATTCCATGTCACCAATCTCATGTACGTGTCAATATGCGCGGTGAAAATGTTGTAGATGCACTCAGTTCCACGTCATCACAGTGGAGTTATAATCAATTGAAGTCCTATTAAGAATCTAAAGAATCGGTGTTGTCGTCCTTCCAAGTCTTCAGGGTCCCGGACTCACAGAAATTGTCCATACGCAAACATCACAATTCTCTATCCATCAGTCCAGTCATTGCCCAAGATGATCCTCCACAGAGGCTCAGTCATACTGGCTGCCCTATATGCCGGCTCAAACTTTGCAGCCGCCGACTCCCAACGGCCACTGTTGAAAGACTTTGACGCGCTGGGCGCTTGGTTTGAGGAAGTTGCCGCCATCAATGCTACCTCTGGCCTTGAAGATGTCGAGCAAGCCAAGAACACCACCATCGCCATCGTTGGAGCGGGTATCACAGGCCTAGCCACGGCCCTCATGCTCGATAGCGTGGGTGTACACAATTGGGAGATACTCGAGGCCAGTCACCAGATTGGTGGACGCTTGCGGACTATTTACGTTGGAGACACCCAAGAATGGGCAGAAATGGGCCCCATGCGTCTTCCCTACAAGATCAAGTACAAGAGTGATAATGCGACCCTCGAATACTCTGATCATGCCATGACGTTTCAGCTGGCAGATTGGCTCAATGAGATGAACCAAGATAGTCACACCGACCTGAACATCAGCTTCATCCCCTGGATCCAGCACTCGCCCAATGAGTTGCTGGCGTTGGGCACTGGCAGACATCCCGACGGCAGCATCCCTACCCGTGCCGATATTGCTGCGAATTCCAGCCTTGGAAGGCCGGCACCAATGAATACACAGGAGTACAAGGACGTCAAAGCAAAGATGAGCGAGATTTTGCTCAACGAAGAAACACTCAGAGAGATCCAAAGAGACGTATGGAGAGTACATGGGCGCACGATGAAGAGAGGCCTCGACGATGTTAGTCAACAGAGCATGATGCGCAATGTTTGGAATGCGAGCGCCGAGGTGGTAGATGCCATTCATGGTGCTACTGATTACGACGTCTTCTGGGACGAAATGCATCACAACTCGAACTTGGCGCAGGATGGCAGCAAGGGCACCTTGGGCGAAACAGAGTGGCGATGTGTCGAGGGCGGCTTTAGCCGCTTCTCTAATGCTTTCTTACCACACGTTCAAGACCGCCTCATCCTGAACCGTCAGGTCCGGGCTATTGAGGCTATCAAAGATGACCAGAACATGGTCACCGGCACGAAGGTCTCCTGGGTTGATGTTGATTCTAACAGAAGCCAGACAAAGCCAGGACCTCAACAGAGCAAAACCTATGATTTCACGATGCTCGCAGTCCCTTTCACCATGACGCGAATGATGCGTCTTCCATCTTTCTCGCCCACACTGTCGCGAGCGATGGCCGAACGCGGTCTCCGCTTCAAGGACGCCTGTAAAGTCGGACTGCTCTTTAGCGAACGTTTCTGGGAGAAGGGTGATCGTCCCATATTCGGTGGTTACTCGACGCCTCCTGATGCAGCTGTTGGCGCTCTCTACTACCCAGTGTACGGACACAACGAGTCGGGGCGCCCAGGTCTTATTTTGCACTATCGTGGAGGCGATTGGAGCAGCCGCTTCGCCAGCCTCAGCGAGGAACAACACGTCGGTATGGTCCTCGACGCTATTGCTTCATTACATGGCGAGCAAGTACGGGAGCTATACACGGGCGTCTATGAGCGTTTGTGCTGGCTGGACGAGCCCTTCATTGCCACTGCCTGGACGCGACCGGATGTAGCTCAGCATGCGTTGTACATTCCGGCATACCACCAAACCGAGTCGAATATTGTTGTCCTCGGCGAGCATACGGCGCCCACGCATGCGTGGATCAGCTCCTCGCTTTACTCTGCCGTTCGTGGTGCCGTTCAACTATTGCTTGAGATTGGTTTAGTCGAAGAGGCCAAGCAGCTGAACCAACGGTGGATGGGACGATGGATCGATATGGAGTAGAATACAGGCACCTCAATGTAGGAAGATTCAAGAAGTCGTGGGTCAAAAGTTATCTGCTGTAGGAATGTCTATGAGAGAAAGAGCCGGCGGCGATGATTTGAGATAGTCCAGATAGAAGCGTAAGGCCTGTTGGATCCTGCCGACGTAATGATATTTAACTCAACAACCATTGCAACATGTGACACTTTGAAAATAATCCATGTGATACGGTCTCACGTTTTTGTGACAACAATGGACAAAACTATTACCCTACTAGAGAAAGTTGAGAGAGTAGATCTAGATCATGATTGGGAAGAATCAAGCACCTATTCAATTCGTCTACGTAAGAATTGGGCCACCACTCAGACTACCACCAACCTCCGGCGTTTTCAATATACCTTCACTCATCAGATCGGTCGCTAGCCTAGTCAGAAGTCCGTCACAACCTCTTGCTGCCAGTATGCCGACCGCCACTGGCAGCTTCTCATCATGGTTGGTCTGAGCGCTGAAGCTAGAGACCTCACCCACTGGATAGATTAAGTCAGGGCATCCGGAAAAGACAGACATTCGGGCCGCTGAAAAGCCAGTAAAAGGCGCTGGCGGTGCTATGTCGTATCGGTTCCTTGGAGACTGCGTCCCAAGCTTGCCGGCATATAGAATGAGCCCGGATGAGCATTGCAGGGTGTTGTTGACCGGAGGTAGGATCTGATCGTTGAACCAGTTCATGAACATCGTCTTGTTCTGCATGGCCTCATCCCAGGAGTAGTTGGCAGCCCAGGCCCATCGTGCCAGTGGGGATGGGTTGATAAACGGCTGACGACCGTCGAATTGTTTGGCATAATCTGCAAATAATGGCTGAACCACTGCATCGTCTTGACCCTTCCCAGTAAGAACTGGGTAAGTGATGTTGAAAGTCTCGGTGAAGTTGAGTTCGGCGTTGGGGTTGGTTTCGCGTGTGCCCCAGCGCTGTGCCACGTTCAGAGTGCTCACATTGCCGCCCACAAACTTAGCCAGTGCAGTGGCGAAGCTATTAAGAAGTACACCTGCCTCGGTGCTGGAGTTGGGGTACGACACCGTCATGATCTTGGTCGGATACTTCGGCTTCAATTCCGCCAGAGAAGTGTAGTTGGAGCCGTATGTGACAGCCTGAAGTTTATCCCACAGCTTTGGGTCTCGGACAAGGAAGCCAACAGTATCCAGAGGCTCGGATAACGGCATGATGTGATCAGCACTCACAGCACCGTGTGATGCTCTATTGCCAAACACGCCGTTGACGCCTGCAGGGCTACGGATGCTGCCACCCGTATCAGTTCCTACGGCAGCGTCAAGCCAGCCATAAGAAGCAACAGAAGCACCTGCGCCGGAGCTCGAAGAGGATGGATCTTGATAACCATCTCCCCTAGGATTGAAAGGACTATGGTAGTCAACCCAATCGACAGTCGCAACTTCGCTCGTTGCAAACTGGGACAACTTCTGAGTGCCCACGATAATGGCGCCGGCTTCGATTAGCCTCGCGATTGCCGTTCCAGTAACGTTATTGGCTGGGTATAAATGATACCATGCGCGGTTTCCGTTTGACTGTCTGACTCCGGCTAGCGAGAAGATATCCTTAACGGCAATTCGGACACCAGCCAGTGGCTTTGTATCTGAAGGCTCGTAGTACAATCGAGAAGGCACGCCGATGGTGAACGTAGCTGAACCAGGGATCTTTGCGGACAAGACTTGAAAAGTGCCATCATTATTGCCCAGCAAGGCTTCGGTGAAGGCGCCAGCAGTGTCGTCGTAAAGACGGTATGCTTGATGTAGGTCTCCGGTGCCTTTGCGCAGAAAATAAGGCCCCTTCGGCACGCTGGACCTCGCTGTAAAGCTCACCACTGCCGAATGTATCTCATTGGTAGTGTGGATATTTTCGGCTGTCGATGTGTCCGAGTTGTTTGTCTGATTGAGCAGCAGCCGTGCGAATCCGGTTTGAAACACGTCGTCGGTCTCCTTCCAAGCGGTGAAAATTTGGGAAAGATTGTCTGCCCAGCTCGCATTTGGCAAGACGGCAACCGGAACGAAATCCATAACACCATCGACATCTCCGGGGACATCAGATTGGAGCGAGAGATTCGCAGCGATGTGGGGGCTGATGAAGTATGGGATCCCGTTCAAAAAGAGAGTCAAGCCAGTCGATGTGATCTGTGACATGGCTAATGGCAATGCCATCAAAACCCATGCTTGGATCATTTGGATTTTCATCGTTCCAGCCAACAGACACCTAAGAAAGTTTGTTACACAATCAAGCGCAGAGAGATGCCGCACACAGAGCGGCTGATTATTTAACGAAAGCCAAGGCCACGTTCGATCGCCAAGCGTATGTAGTATGCCCGGGGACGGCAACTTGGCTAATCTCATCCCCTTAGCATGGAGTACTTTCTGTAGATGATCGCCCGAGAACCGGGCTCGTACCCCCCCCCCCCCTTCTGCCAAGTTATCAAAGACGAGGGAGCTCGTTGAATTCCATTTTTACGGGGCCCCATAATGAGTCCACATTCAACTTCACCTTGAGAGCTGCAGAAACGTACAGGGATTCCGCTGAGAGGTGGTGTAAAAGTGGTACCTTGATCTCGTCTCTAAGCGCTGCAGAAAACTACATGTATTCTCCACGCAGGATATCACCATGGGATGGGACGTACCACTAGGGCTTTCTACGATGCGTTCGTACCCGGATGGCATAGTCAGGATCTAATGGCATACCGTACTAAATCCGAGCTTACACGGAGTGCTAGGATCTCGCAGGCACAACGCATCTACTAGTCCCTGCAGGGGCATCATCCCTGCCGTTCTGAAAGTACATGATTATTCCAGATGCAATGCAGGATCAAAGGGAGCGGCGTATGTAGTGCGGTAGGCGGCGAATGAATTTCTCCGGTCTATGGCATTTCATAATGTCTTTTTTACTTTCGTCCACTTACGTGGGGTAAGCGACAGGAACCCATACTCCACAAAACTCTTGTGCGTGCATGCTGACACTATCACGTCACATCTTACACCTCACGAACTCCCCCGCACGTTCAATGGCGTACATTCAAACTATCATATACATCGTTGGTCTCTTGACGCTCAGTCTTGCCGGCCTCAAAGCAGTGAACTGGATTGCCATCTACACCCTTCCTTCGAGACTCAGCCGTTATGCGCACATCTCCCCGAACGGCGACGCGCCCTGGGCCCTTGTGACGGGTGCTTCGGACGGCATTGGTCGCGCTTTTGCATCTGAATTGGCGACACAAGGGTTCAATGTCGTACTTCATGGACGGAACCATGCCAAGCTTACTGTCGTTGCGTCCGGGTTCCGAAAACAATTCCCCTCAAGGTCTTTCCGCATACTGGTGGCAGACGCGAGCGCCGTGCCAGGTGTAAACAACAATGGGGTTGAGCGGCCGCCTCAACCCGTCGATTTATCACAAGCTCCTCTCGATTTTGCATTAATACAAGCGGAACTTCGCAATTTGCATCTTACTGTAGTCATCAACAATGCGGGAGGCGGTCCGACCAACCCGGTCTTCTCGCCTCTCGTCGACTGCTCAGCGGACAGGATCGCCAGCAACGTCAGCCTGAATGCGCTCTTCCCACTACATCTTACAAGAGTGCTTTTACCGGTTCTCCGCCAGAATGCGCCAGCCCTGGTGATGAACATCAGCTCCATGGCAGACGTAGGATTCCCTTTACTGGCGTCTTACAGCGCTAGCAAGCAGTTCCTCATGACTATGACACGTGCCGTGGGTCTTGAGCTGAAACTTGACGATGGTAGCAGCAACGTGGAGTTGCTAGGTGTCCGGATCGGCAGAGTCACGGATGTTTCGCATTTGAAGGAGGCTCCGTCGCTGTTTACGCCCGATTCTCAGACTATGGCCCGAGCTGCCTTGGCACGAAGCGGTCGTGGGCATAGTATAGTCGTTGGATATTGGGGCCACGCGCTGCAGCAGGTCAGCTCTATCTTCTTACCGAGGTGGGCTAAAGACCAAGTCATTATGGCAATCATGCGTGAGCAAAGAGCTGGAGAGTTGAGAACACAGTGAAATATGACATGTATTGCTCATGCAGGCGGCACTTAAGGAAGAGCCCTTGCCAGTCTGACTATGTATGATATGGAGTCATAATGAGCGGGTGAATGACCAGCATTTTGGCAGATACTCTTTTGTTACCAATGTTGACGACATTTCAACCTACCCGACCCGCTACATCATTCACATGGCTAAGTGCTAGATGTGACCGGTAACACCAAAAGAAAAGAGAAAAAAAAGAAAGTATGTTCTTGGGTGCAAGATGGATTGCCTAAGGGACAAGCCCAAGCCGGACCCGTATTACCATCCCGTGTTTACCACCAAAACATAATAAAAAGTTCAATAAAATCAGTCCAGATCGGCCCAAACCGTGGTGATATCCCACAGAGTAAAACGTCTTCACGTCTCGGAAGCAACCGCACTTCTCTGTAGTTTTTTTGTTTTCTTCCGCTGTGAGCCTATCTTGCATCGCAAATAGGAGCTTGCGACATTTCTGACGCTGCAATCTCGGTAGATTTGGCCAGTGACAAGTGCGTTAGATTTCTTGGGCTTCCTGTATCTCAACTTAGTACTTCGGTGTACATACTCTCGCGCGTACTAACATAGACTATACTTACATCTGTCAATTTCTGATAAGTACGCATCCACTTCGGTTGCCACACCTGCCATTCGCTGCCATTTGGATCACCAGGTACCAGAAGCAACTCGAGGGAGATTATGTCTTCGCGTAAACCATCGAAATGCGTGACGGCGGAGACGGATCTCGCTGTGCGCCACTGTTCGTCTTTTGGGATCTCCTCCTCCGGTCTTGAATCGTGAGCAGTCAACTCGCCTGCAATGCCGGAAGGCTAGACAAAGGAACTTCTAAACCGACTAAAGGCTTGTCTATGAATTACCGGTATATGTATCAAGCAACCACGAGGTTGCTAGGGTGTCTCCGCCCAGCGGTTTGGACAGTGGCAGTATGATTGGTGGAATCCTTCCTTCTGACAACGGCCAGAGTCCAGCGGAATTGGAGTCCTCGAGTTGATACTTTTCTTTGGACCCAGGAAAAGCATTTTGAAAGTAGTCGATGGTCTGAGTGGACGGAAACACAGGCCTGCAAATAATGATATTCGGAAGCCGCCGTACCAAGTCAATCATCACGTCGTTGAAGCCGAGGCGTTGCAACTTCTCGAGGGGGACGAAGTCGTTGCCCCAGCCTCTTTCCGGGGGGTAGGCAATGTAATCAGGTCTGATTGAGACCATCTTGGAAAGGAGTTTACATTATTGCCTGATGCTTCCGATGATAGCCACTCGGTCGTATGTTGAATCGGACTCTCGTCCCTGCGATGTGGAGGCTTCAGTCGACATGTCCACAATCACCGGCGGTCTTGTTGGCGATGCCAATGCCTGGCATATTTCAAACTGATGAGAAATGTGAGGTTCTTTAAATACTAAACGTGGATTGACTGTTTGGACTTGGCGGCAGCGCGCAATTGGTCAGGTGGTTTCGAAGGCTTCTTCCCTTTTACATGCAGATCCCAGTCATTCTGGCCAGGATAAGCTCCGCCCAGCTGTGAATACAGAGATGCTTGCATATGCCCGTTGCGTCCTGTTTTGTCTTTCTTGCGGATTCGCAATAACAATAATGCTGCTAGTAAGTACCTTACTGGCAGTATCAAATGAGACAAACGGCAGAAGGTGAGATTGTGGATGACAGTCTAGTAATCACAAGTTGAGGGAATCCGGGGGATTGCCATAGCGACTAGGAAGAAGTAGCACAAAGTACTTAGGTAGCAAGAGAGACGCTCGTTAGTAGCAGTGGAACCAGCCAAAAAGAACGAAAACGCCTGTCTTATTACATCGCTATTGAGGTCTACCGAAGCGAAAATGAGTGTCAACTAATTCACATCCAAAAAGATAAGTTAACAACAGGGACTTCAATTCCATGGAGACCATGGAATGCGAAAACGGCGAATAGAATCTACATGGTAGGGTAATGTCTAGGAGCAGGCGTGATGATAGATCTCACAGCATCCGAGATCTCAGCGGCAAGCTCCAAAGCATAGCTCAGCGACGCGGGCACCTGGATGCTCGCCTCCGGGGAGCTGCTGGTGGTGGACGGAGTAGCGGCAGCTTCTGCCGTGGCCGGCGATGTTGCCGTCTCCCGAATAACTGGTAGTGACGCGAACTCCAGTTCCTCCATGTTCCTCTGGTAGTGCTGATCCTTAGAAGTAGGCCGACGTGTAGAATTACCTTCGCGGATGACGAGAACGTCGGGAGGCCTTTTACTATTGTCGAGCTCTTCCAGCGCAAGGCGGCCAGGGAAGCTCGGGTCATCATCCTGATTGTCGTCCAACCCCAACTATCTCACATGCAATGACCTCAATACCTATTTCGTACTCAGTATCGCCGCCAGTGGCGACTTATCCTACAGCGAAACGGATTAATCTGAGACTACTAAGACGTCAATGAGAGAATTGCTCACTTACAGAAAAGACCTCCATAAAGTCGATACGAGGCTCGGATAGGGCCAGAGTTGAGGAGCCGATGATGATGTGAGCGGCAAACGGCGAGTTAAGGCTCTTCCCATTCACAAAGTCCATATAGACCGATCCAAGCAAGACCAGTTCGGTCCTACTGATCGTATCCTTGCTTTCGATTGATGCGAATGTTTTTGAGATACTATGCCTCCTCAACGTCACAACAGACCATGCACCCTCTCTACATTTTGATATCTCTGTGGAGCAAAGCACAAATGAGCTTTTGATCCAATAAACTTGAAGACACCTTTCAAAGCGACCGGATCTTGGATGTAGGATTTATCTCACCTGCATTTCCACGAAAAGTTCCGCTAGGACTGATGAATATCGCCTCGTTCGAGAATACCTCGGTGGCCAGTCGACTTCCTGAGTCCTCAGCCTTAGAATCTGCGAGCTCGTAGAAAGTGGCGATAAGGCTTTTGCCCTGAGAGGTAATGGAACCAGACAGCCAGTCGGTGGCGTTCGTAACGTAGCTCATGGTTTGTCAAGAATCACTCGAAAAGTAGTGTTATGACAAAGTATTTAATACGGCGATGGGACCAAATAAATCTCTAAGAGAGGAGTCATGATGTGGCGAATTTGAGGATAAGCAAATCTTCATTCGCGGATAGAGCATGAGGAGCTGGACTTGAGAGAGGGATACTGCCAGCGTCAGATGACGCACCTTGTGGCTCGGCGATTCGTCGCGTTCTAGCAAAACGCGAAGACGCGCTTGTCCATTCGCCTTTCGTCGCCCTTTCGTCTCTCGGGATCGGGCTCGGGGTAGAAGTCTAAAGGAAATATGTCATCAAGAGATTGGGGGAGTGCATGCTTTGACGTCAACTACCTAAAGGTAAAGTGATTGATCACGTGGTGCCGCCGTCGACAATCCCATTGCGAAGTACCTAACAAGAGAAAACAAATGTCATCTATTTTCCTTCTACAATTTCCACTTGTCTGAACTCTTTGTTATGTATCTCCAATCTCAACGAGAGTTCCGAACACCTAAAAGCACGCCTCGAATCAGCCATACAGAGAGCCCTGGGGTCAAACTTCAAAACAGATCGCAAGATTCGAAAGAAAGCATGTCACAAACTTCCAAGGCTGTCGACTACGATACTCCAGTTAGCAAGGTCATCAGCCCATCGGGTCTCGCCCACGTTGTACTACGAACCGTCAACCTCCCCCGCATGGTTGAGTTTTACACCACGTTTCTCGGGGGCAGCGTCACCTACGGCAATGAGATGATATCTTTCATCACTTATGACAACGAGCATCACCGTATCGCTTTAATCGAAGTTCCAGGAACGGCAGCCAAGAACCCGGCGAGCTGCGGCCTCGAGCACATCGCGTTTTCCTTTGATACTCTGGAGGCTTTGCTGCTAGCGTATCGCCATCGCAAGACCCGCGGCATCGAGCCTGTTTGGTGTGTCAACCACGGCCCTACGACTAGCATCTACTACAAGGATCCTGACGGCAACATGCTGGAAACGCAGGTCGATAACTTTGATACCGTTGAGGAGGCCACTGCTTTCATGATGAGCGACGAGTTTACCGAGAACCCGATTGGTGTAGATTTTGTTGCCGAGGAGATGATTGGAGCCCTGCGCGCTGGCGGGGACGAGAAAGTGTTAAAGAAGCGGCGCGAGATTGGCCCGCGCGGGTTGCCGGACTTTTCGAACATGTAACATTACCTTGACTTAGCCGGTGAGATTGTTGTACTTGTGGAAGAACAATGGCCACATTGTCACAAGGAGTTTAGCTTGGGGTTCCTGCAAGACCGGTAGTACACCATCCCGGGCTCGGCTTCGGCCTTGACTGTAAGCTTATTGGACCGTTGGTTTCAGAACTCCGTGTCATTACATACATGTACCCTCGATCCGGGTTCGGCCTCGGGTTCCGTGCCCGAGTCAGTTGAAGTGTCGCATTTTGGACTCATTCGGTGAAGCTTTCATTCGTTCAATCTACGATAAAAAAAACCTTTGTAGTAGCTTAACTAAGGTAACTATGGTCTGTGTTAACTATAGTTCTTAGGAGCGTTTTCTGATGGTGCGTGAAACCAACTATGTAATTATTACCAGTAAGAGGCATCACTTGAGGCATTATCATTATCAGCGGCCACCCAAAAAAAACTTTACCAAAGTGACGATAAACTACTTTCTGCGTAAGAGATCTTTCGTCAGTGAATTAGAGAAATTAAACAGCGATATCTCACTTCCATGATGCTTGATAGAGCTCCAAAATCACTTTCCGAGGCTTGGCTAGATACCCATACCCGATAAAATAATTTTCCTCACGTCATCCCATAAGAATAAAGTCTCATGCCTTCTCTTTTTACCATCTGTGATTTAGACATCAAAAAACATTGACTAATTGCTTGAAGAGAACAAGAACCTGGGTGATGAACTGATGTGATTCCAAGAAGCACACTACCACTGGACTTGGATCGAGTCTTCCGTGTTGGGTACCGTAAGACCAGCGAGGTCGGAGTAAAGCGTATAGCCACTTTGCGAAATCTCTATCTCTCGTACGCTCGGGACGCCTGACACAGAATGGTTTTCTTCGCTGACGGTCTCCATTCGCGAAGATTCGGCCTGGGGGAGCAAACTAGTGCCCGTGATATCAGATGCATTGACGTCTTGGCTGGTAGTGATCGAATTGCATGCGTAGACACCCGTCACCTCTGCTGGCCTACCTTGCGTAGAGGCACCACCCTGAAGGGACATCTCCATAGATTTCATGAGATCCTCATAGCTCGTTGTGCTCTGGATACTTCGGTTATCGCCCTTGTTCTTGTAACTGTCGATAACTTTCCGGGCCTGTCGAACAAATTCTGTTGTCTTTGTGAAGGCAGCTTCACCGGATGTGACGTACTCGAGGCGACCGAAGAATCCAACGACTGTTTCCATGAGGGCTATGTCGCTCTGGTTACAGATACCATATGGGTTGGACACTACATGGACGAAGATTGTAGTCAAGGCTGTAAATGGATAGTAGAAGACAAGCCTTCCACCATGTGAGAGGTTAGAATCCCTGAATCATCTGTAGGAGAGTAGCGAAGCGAGCTATCTGTCATAACTGCCAGTGTAACCGTAGCTGTGTGAGGGTTTATGGATCGTCCAACCAGTGAATTCCGGTAACGACATAGGAAAGTGCGAGACATACCATGCCGGAGTGAAGCTCTCGATATCCAGGTGCTTCGTGAGCAAAACGGTCGACCTTGCAGCCTCTATGTGCGATATATGAGACCTCTTATCGATAAGATGTTCTACATCCCTATTTCCTTGATTGAACATGGGTGATCCGCGCCGGAAAATGGAGCACAACGCGTAGTAGTAGGATGAATGTAGAACAATGATTTGTACCCGTGATACCCCGTGTCTACCGAGGACTTTCCCAAGTGGTCTACCAGGCCGGACTTGGGCAGGAATAGATTCCAGCCACACTTCCAAGTCTTGCAGCAAGCGATTCAATGCTAGAACCAGCCGAGAAACTGGCATAAAGAGAGCGCTCGCAGAGTACAAGGACCGGGATATCTCACCACCGATACGCGCAAGCTTTGTGTAATATCGAAAAAAGTCAACTTCCAACTCTCTTTCGCCTGTCTCTGTGACTTTGGCTAATGAGGCAGGATAGACCAAGTCGATTCCTCGCGGGAAACAACAGCTTATTTCTTCATCGCAAATGACTGCAGGCCTACCACATCGTAGGGCGATTGATTTGTCCAGACAATAGACTGCCCAGAAGACGCGATTCCGCTCCTTTTTCTCAGCATCAGAGAGGTTCCATTCAGGAGGCGGGGCGCAGTTGAGTCCAATACTCTGCGCTAGCCGTGTAGCGACCGAGGAGAGAGTATACTCGAGCCTCTGAGGACTGGACAGCCCTTGCGCAAAGACGGCCATCAAAGCCACTGCTTGCACGGCGAGTAGATCGGTGGCGCCATGAACGATTTGGGACTCGTAGGATAGAGCTGACTGGAAGTATCTCCACGCCTCAGACCCAGATGTTCGAAATGCCTCGGAAGTCTCATCGGAGAGCGAAGCTCGGAGTCCCGAAGCAACGACGACGTTCAATAATGCCGCCCAAGACGGCTTTTGAACATCACCAGAGCCATCTCCCATTTCAGCCAATTGAACATTAAAGGTATCCCGGTCTAAAATAGGGAAGATAACCTGAACCTGCGAGAAATAGGCGTCGATGTATTCAAGCAACTGCCGCCGAGAAATGTCTAGATTCTGATGAGTTGTCGATAGCACGAGTGGCAAGTCTTGCGTGACGCACTTCGGCTGGCGAATATGGCTGAGGATGGCGTTTCTTATGTCCTGGATTGTCTCGCAAAGAAGATCCGAGTCGGGCACTTTTCCTCGAATCCAATTCAGACCGAGGTCGGACACGGTGGATATACCGGAAGAGGGGCCGGTGTATTCGTCGCCGTCGGTGGTTCGGCCCCACACGGCCGGGCTGGCGTCTTTAAGGCATTCGAAGTCCTCATCGCCGTCGAGTATCTTGTCAAGTAGACTTTCACCTCGGGTAGAGGTGGAGCCGGCGGGAGTTTGCAGGATGACCTCGCTGCCGCGGGCCATCTGAGCAAAGAAGCTAGCCATGGAGTTGGAATCCATGGTTTGCCAGTTAGACGGAGCAGCAGGTGCGGCGATAGCGGTGCCCCAGTCTAGGAAATCTGATTCGGCGTCATTCCGCTCGGTTCCATCCGGCATGCGGTGTGTTGAACCGGTGGTAGATTGGAGGCACGGCCCTTGTTGAACATGGCACGCAGCGGCGTCGGCATCGGGCTGTCTCGGCAAGGACCGCTGGCCCAGGTCGATGATACTCGGGCTTTGATCATTCTGAGAGATGGAACGACGTCTGTTGTCGGCGTCGGCTTCCGTCCAGCGACGTACCCTTCTCTCGCCGGCGTACGAACAGTGACTGGCTCGTTGTCTGCAATTTTGGCAGATGGGTCGGACACGGTCGCATTTGATCTTCTTCGCGCGGCATGCTTTGCAAGCCATGGCTCAAACATGAAGCGAAACGAAATAGAATGAGCCACGCTAAGATCGCTGAGATATGTGGAAGGGTGGTTGAGGAACGAAGAACAACATGAAAAGGATGTTGGTAACCGACTCAAGGTGGAGCACGGGCAGGCCGGCAGAATCCCCACACGGCGCCAATGCCGCATCCTGTAACTTAAACGCGGGGTAACGGGAACGAAAAGAAACCTGCATGTTTGGTATAAGTTATTAGTAGCTCACACCAGATGTTCTCAGCATATTGTGTGATTCCGTTCAATTTAACCTCGAGGAGAGTCCTCGTCAAAGTTTTCTAGTGTGGATCGAGGAAGAAGAATACACGCATCAGTAGACCCAACCATTGTATGTCTTCATGGCCATCACTGAGAGTACCTTACATGTACTTATTTGAAGCAGTTAAAAGGGAGACGATGTAAATAATTCGAGAGAACACGTACACCAGAGACCTAGAAGTAGAATGACTCGTTCAGGTTCTCGGATCCAATGCCTACTTTTGTCTTACACTTGAGCCCACTTGGCTTCCCGAGGTAGTTCGGGCCCGAGCCAAACTTGCCAGCTTTCGATCTCTGGACCTACGCGAGTAGTCTGAGGGCGACGTATCAAAACAGCCCTACCACTTGGCCGCAAACAGTCATGGTCTTTCCTCATATTAAATTGCTGTCTGGTCCTTTGCCACCCCATAAGAAGAAAATCTCCAACTCATCGGAAGTTCAGCCCGTTTCCCCAAGTCCTCCCTCGCCTTCCATGTTACCTCGAGTGAATTGCTGTTGACCCAATACTGTTCCACAATCTGGAGTAGTTCTGTTGTCAGAGTTGTCCGTCGTCTCCACGTCCCTCTCAACTTCACAAGTGCATCTCACACATCATTGATTCGGCATTTGGTTCATTTAAATGACCGTTGGTGCTCTTCAGGATGTTCGGCTACTTTTCATCCTACGCCCTCGACATCAAAATACGGCTTTCTCAGCCACATGATGATCAGCAAAAGTAAGACTCTCTGTGAGGGCACACGGTTCGAATTGGGGCTCACTGGGCTCGATACACTTGATTTTATTACCAGCTCGCTGGTCAGGCCTTTGTGGCCTGTCAGTGGCAAGACTCCCTACCTGATGGACTTGTCACTCTCCAACATACCTTTCACCGGCCAGTCAGCCGCCTATGTGTGGCTCTCAATTGAGACGTCCCGGGGTCTTTTCGTCTAGAATAAGTTCACAGTAAGTTAACAGTAATCTGTCAGGTTCAAGACACAGACTAACTAGCTTGGTCTTCAAAGAACAGATGTGCCAAACCCAGATTCAGCATAGCTCAATTAGTTCCCCTGATCTAGGCTACAGATTTCTCAGAGAGACTACTTCTGGGTCCTCCCTAGTCCGATTCTTGGTGTTGGGTATCTGCCGCCACTCCATGGCCCAGCTTACGAGCCAAGCAAGGGCCGGAGTAGCAAGGACAACCCAGAAGACCTTCTTCAAGGCAGAGTTAAACGCATCGATGACAGCTTCCAAGAGCTGTGGAGGGACAATTTTTCTGAACTCCCCTGCGCCAACTGCCACAACAGCTGCACCATCAATTCCCTCGATTTCGTTTAGAATTCGCAGGAGTGTATCCGTGAAGAGGTTCTGTCCGATACTGGGAGCGAGGGCACCTCCGAGCATCTGGAAGAACATGATTATCACGAGGCCCGTAGGCACGTCCGTCTTGTCGAGAACTACCTGGACCGCAAGTATCGGCATCTGGCTACACATTCCGTATCCAAGCCCGGACGCAATTTGGATCGGTACCCACTGTCCACGCGGGCTCTGAGAGTGCACTAGTTGGTAGAGACCGCCTCCTACAGCGAGAATAGGAGCACCAATCCACATCAAAGGGACATAGTGACCAGACTTTGACGAGATCCAGCCCGCGCAGAGTGTGCCGAGACTGTTGGACACAATGATTGGTAGTAGATATATGCCTGAGTCTCTGGCGCTGTTGTTTCTGACCGACTGAAAGTAAATCGGCCAGTAGTACGAGTGCAGTACTATGGCCACCTGAACAAGCATCATGAAACAACATGATGCAACAACGGTGCGGCCTCGCAAGATGCGGAGAGGAACAGTAGCACTAGCATTCAATCAGCAGGCGTTCTAAACGAGAGTATCAGACTCCTGGACTAGTATAAAAGAACCACCCACGTTTCTTGGCCCCGGGCTTGTAAACCAATGAAGCCAATGAGTAGCAGGCCGAATCCGATTAGGCATCCGAATACTTTAGGGTTAGACCACGGATGCACAATTCCGCCCCACTGCAAAGCGAGATTCAAACATGATGTTGCACCGAGTAGTAACGTAGCGCCTAGCACGTCGAGTTGGCGTATCTTATTCTTCCACGGCAGATCACCCTTGACAGCAGGAGGAGGATTCCTCAAGCTGAGCCAGATGAGGGCAAGCCCGATGGCACCAAAGGCTATGGACCGTCAATTGATGGCGGTTATGAAGATTGCGGGCGGACACACTTACGGAGGTTAAGCCAGAAGATGAAGCGCCATGAAAGGGTATTGCTGTCCGTGATGGAACCACCCACCAGCGGTCCTATGGCTGATCCGGTGCTATACAGACCCAGAATTACCGGTGATAATTTTGCCTGCTTTTTCAACGGAACGCAGTAGGAAAGAACTGTCGTAGTTCCGCTCACCAGTCCGGCAGCGCCTACACCAGAAATAGCTCTTCCGATAATGAGAGCCATTGAGTTCGGTGCGACGGCTGATATGACAGAGCCGACCTCGAAGATGATGAGAGATATGCAGTACACCCATTTGATGTTGTAAAAGGCGTAGAGGCGACCGCACGTTGGCAGCATTGCCATCTGCGCTATCAGATAGGATGAACCATACCAGCCAATGTCGTTGAGACTTCTAAAGTCACTGGTGATTTGTGGTATTGCAGTCGCTGATCGTGCCCTTTTGTCAGTTCAAAACTTTGCCGAAACACAGGTGGTCAAGTCTGCGTACCCAAAATGGTATTGTCGAGTGCCAACACGAAGCAAATGGCCATGAAGGCGATGGTCAGAGAAACAAGTGCCCAACCTTGCAAGTGCGTATTTGGACGCTGATCTTGACTTGGATTCACTTCATTTTGCTGGACCTCGGTCTCGTCGAGAATTTCCCCTTGAAGAGGAGAAGGCCCTGCAGCTTGGCTTGCCATGCTCGTCGGTTATGATTGCTGCAAGAGATACAGCCGAAACTGACAGAGACAACTTTCAACTTACGATGTGTGCTGATCGCCGTCTGTTTAAGAGAGGCAACTTTGTTGGAGCAAACGTCTGATGGATACCCGCCTGATTGGTTTATACAATACGAGGCGAGGCCGAGTTGCTCCTCTTGCTTGGCGTTGGCTGGGTGTGAGACTTTAAACAACATTCATTCGTTCAAGATCCTGGTCCCCGCGAATCACCCATTTCCAGTCACTTCTCCGCTGACCGCCTATCCAAGCCCACATGAATGTTAAGGTGGGGATTTCCACAGTCCTCTGACTTTCGAGCAGTTGATGATTGACGTCTCTCGGCTGCGTCGCTGAAGGCTCTGGATCTAGCCGTCTGACGTATCTAGCAGTGTCTGACTCCTAACGAGCCAAAACTGATGTCGAGGTCATCAAAAGCAGTGGAGTCGGCTAAGCTATGAGACAATCAAAGCCTACGGGACTTCTTTGTGCTGTAGAAAGTCCTTGTCCCAAATTCATAACTTGCCATAAATTGCTTCACAGAAAACGGCGAGGTATCTACACAACGGTAGTCATTATTGGACCAACCAACAAGAGAGTAAGTCGATTCGTGTTTAGCCTAAATTTAATAGCCGGAGAATCCCTGCGACTCGTTGGTGCGCGTTTGTTGCTGCGAGGATGAGGTTGCAATGCGAACCAACAGCTTCTTTGAAGGATTCAGCGAAACGTCTATGGATCGGCTTTTCAGTATCGTTGCCGGTGGTAAGTCGACCCACCCCCTTTTGGCCACCCCCCCATTTAGCCACCCTATTTCTCTATCCTAGTTACCGTATTAAAGCCCTACCCTTAATTTATAAATTACTATAATAATTATAAAAATTATTTAAATATATTTATTTTTTATATACTTATTTATTAATATATAATAGTTTTTTATACTAAAAATAAAGTTACTTAGGCTCTTAAAGTTATTAAAAATAGTCTTTTAATTAATAAGGCTTTAATTAAGTTCGGAGTTTTAAGGTTTATTTTTCGTAATTATAAGAAAAGCTATTAAATAAAAATAATAGCTTTTATTAATTTTTAAAAGCTTTTTTTTTAATTAAAAGATTAGTTAGCTTAGTAAGTTTAGATTTAATATAATTTAAGTATTATATTAACTTATAAATAAGTTAAAAAATTTACTAAACGAGTTTTAAAATCTTAAGAAAATATTAATTTTTTTAAAAAGTAATAAATTAATACTTTTTTAAAAAAGAACTTATCAATTAAAATTTAGAAAAGTTATATTATTAATTTTAAGTATTTTAATAGGGCTATTACTAATATAATTAAATCTTAATTTAGATTATTTCATATACTAAAAATTAGTAATATTAAATAGGTTAATAAATATAATATAAATAAGACTAGTATTTTTAAAAATAAGGGATTTAATAACTTAGTTTTAAATATAATAAAAACTATTATGATATAAAAAAAAGAGCCTAGTTT